TTGCCTCTCATTTTGGATTGTCAATGCTGTCTAGGTCTCCTGACATTGAAACAAAAGCAAAAACCAGAGTCAGAACCTTATTTTATCATTGGCTCTGTAAGTTACAAAAAAATTATAGGTTGAGCTATCTTATCAGTCAGTAAGGATTCCCAGGGCTTCAACTAATCATAATTAACTTGATTAACTAATCACAATTGAGACATAATGAGAGCAGGTACATTTGGGAGCTTTGTATCTGGCTAAAAATACAGGCCTGACAAAACACCTGTCACCCTTTCTTCCTCTAGGGATGTCTCAGAAACTGAGTAAATTTTGGCAGGCACGTATTTTTGGTTCAGCAACTTTTCTCACATTGTAGAAATATTAGAGTGTATAGAGAATTGTGAAGAAAGTTTAAATGAATGACATTGTATTCAGAGATAAACTGTTGTTACTTTTTGTTCTTTCCTTTGTCCCTTTCTGTATCTGAGAACATGTGATAAATATACTTTTTATGTTCGACTCTTTTTTCTGCACATTATACCTAGATGGACCCTTTTGGGAAAAGCAATGTAAGAGAGCTAACTCAGGCAGAGACTGAGGGGGTCTGACCTCAGAATGGGTCACAGAGGACATCACCTAATTCAGCCCCCCAGTACGAGATCATATTTGAAGACTGAGACAGCAAGCCCATAGATTAAATGTTGCAAGTACATGGACTTTCCAGCATATTCTCTCCAGTCTTGCTTGATAGATACCACTGTTCTTGGCAGTCTACACTGGGTAGGGGCATCATGTAATTTATATTTGCATTTCTGGTCTTTAAAACTTTTTTTAAAATGAAACAATGGATTACTCGATGCAAAACAGCTTCCAGATTGAAAATGCCCAGTTTTCAGTATACAGTCTCATTTCTAAAGTTCTTGGTTTAGATCTTTTTTTATTTTATAATTTACTGAGGGTGTTTTGGGGGGGATGGAAAAGATAACAAACATAATAGGTAGCATAAGAGAAGGAAAGATGAACCTAACTTAGATAAGATCTTTTAAGGGTATGACATCTTTTAAGGTCACACCTCACATATTCCTTTCTTGGAACACAAGATCAGAGAGAAGCAGAAATATGATTTTATCTACAGGCTTTAAAAAGACCCACATTAAGCAGGATTCATGTACATGCATGCCTGTGTGTCTGCAATGAAATCATGTTTTAAGAGGATTCAGCTGCATTATATTTATAACTATGTGGTTGCTACCAGCTACCAGCTACCAGCATGTCTCCTTGCAGTGGTTCACTTCTCTTTTCTCTATGTCCTAATTCTGCTTTAAAGGATGTAGTTTTGACGAAGCAGCCTGTTAGTTCATCCCCCCTCCCCACCAAACACAATCCCAGCTGTGGCTTCTAGGGAATCCTACTTTGGTCCCACGTAGATTTGTTTTGACATGTTGGTCTCTAGCTGCAGGAACAAGTATGATGTGTTGAGGATCAGGACTCTCCCGTAGTTGGGATGAATCATTCTCTACCTGGGATCTATTCTACATGACTAGGATAAATGGACAACTGAAGCTTAACCAGTCCCCAGGCTCATTTGCAAACATCAACTCAACAACTTCCCAGGAGAATAAAAAGATGATTAGGTATTGCTTCTTAAACTTTAATGGTCACTGAAAAGCACTTGGGGAAGACAGTTAAAATGCAGATTTTCTGGTCCCATCTGGTGCTTCTTTCTTTCTTTTTTTGGTGGTACTGGGGTTTGAACTCAGGATTTCACGCTTGCTAGGCAGGAGTTCTACCACTTGAGTCACTCCGCCAGCCCTTTTTTGTGTTGGGTTTTCTTTTTTTTTTAAGATAGGGTCTCATGAACTATTTGACTGAGCTGGCTTCAAAATGTGATCCTCCTGATCTCTGCCTTCTCAGTAGCTAGATTACAGGTGTGAGCCACTGGTGCCAGGCCCAACTGATGTTTCTGAGCTCATTATCTTAGTAGAGTTTGGGAATCTTTTAAGCAGACACTGAAATGTGATTTCACTACTGAAAGTTCAAAAACCACATTTCCAAGGACACTGAGAGTCCCAGTGTCATACTTCACTATCCACCACCAATATGGCAAAATAATACTATTGCTCCACTGTCTTTCCATCTCCATCCTTCAGACTGCCTGTTTTGAATCATGAGGGATACCCTTAGAGTTTATATTGACCCCACCATCACCATGGTAATAACTGGCATTTGGAAGGGGCTCACTCTGATTTACAGACCAGCTCTGGGGCCCCATGCCCTCAGGAAGATTCAGGATAGACCAACTGTACCTCTCTTGCTATAAAATCGACATGTAGGGGGCTACACAGAAAGTGGTTCCTGGGATGGTAGACAAAGCACCTGCATTCTATGATTCACTTTGTCACAGTTCTTCTGCAAGCCTCCTGATTCCTTTTGAATAGGGGACATACTCTGAGCACACATTCAAAGTTCACTTCTGCGAGCATTGACTTTTCACTTCATGTTCACATCCTGGACCTCCTCACTCAATCCATCTCCCATATCTCACCTGTATAAATTTACTTTTATGTGTAGATTTTGCATAAATTGTCATTGTTATGAGTGCTTAATACTAATCATTGTTCAAACACTGCAAGTGTGTATACACACATGGATGTAGTAAATGGCAGAGCATAATGCAAATATATAGTCATCTCAACCTCTGGTGTAGATACAGCTTTTTGAGTGCAAAGGCATACACTTTAGAGTTAGTAGACTTAAGTTCAAATCTTAGCTTTGCCACTTAGTGGCTACCTGATCTTAGAAATGTTAATTATATTCTCTAGGTCTAAGTTTCTTCATTAGGATTCAATCAGAAAGCTTGTAAAACATCTAGAACTATGACTACAACCTAATAAGAACCCCACAAATGTTAAGCACCTTTTTAATTTTTAGTTTCAAATTTTTGTATGCTAAAGGAAATAGTTCCCAAATTTCTCTCACACAGTGTGTTATTTATAGTTCTTAATGGCTTGTAATAGAAATTGTCCTGGCCAAAGTAAGCAAAGAGAGGCTTTATGAGCAGATATTGTGAGGCTCAAAGAATTTCCAGAAATGCTGAGGATCCACATGCAGAAGATCGTTTAGAACGTAGAGAGCCTACACTAAGACTGCAGCCCAGGGCCATGCATGGTGGTGTACACCTGAAATCCCAGCTATGCAGTAGGTGAAGAAGGGAGGATTGCCATTTGTGGCCACTCCTCCCCCCACAAAGAAAGTTAGTGAGATACTATCTTAAAAAACAAGCCAGAAACACGTATAATCCTAGCTATGTGGAATGTGGAGGGAAGAGGATTACAGTACAGGGTGGATCTCAAGGACAAAGTACAAGATCCTACCTGAACTATAAAGCCACAAAGGGCTGGGAATGTGGTTCAAATGGTAGAGTGCTTGCTTAGCAGGCTCAAGGCTCTGAGTTCAAAACTCCAGTCCCACCACCAAAAGAGGAAACAACAACAAAAAACCACAAAGACTTCAGCCTAAACCACACCTCAGAGCAGTGTAGCTGCTTGACCTCTGCTATTGTTGGCCCTGGACACTGGATGCTGCTGCCACCTCATGGTCAGACCGATTGTCCACTGTCCTGGCTTCTTGCACTGCTTGCTCCAGATTCAAAAAGCTGTAAGAGGTCATCCTGGTTATTCCTGGCACCCTGGCCTGCACTCCAGTTGGGGTGCTCAGGGAGGTGGCCTTAGACTTTGTGTTTTCTGTAGTTGGAGCTGCTCAAACTATGAAGGGAATTCAGATGTCAAGCAGGGGTGAAAGACCACCATCCAAGGGCCTCCTCTCCTCACCATTTCCCACATGCCCACCTCTCCTATTTGCTTACACCCCTCAAGCCTGGGTCAGCTCTGGTCAGAGGCTGTTTTAGACATTTCTGTTCTTTCCCTCCTTCCTCTGCCCAGAATGCCCCATGCCTGACACCTTCCCACCACCAATCCCAGAGCAGCTCAATCTTACCCATTCTGCAAATGTCAAACTGGATGTTTATTGTGGTCCTATCCATCTCCCTCAAGGTTCACTTCTCCTTCCTGGGTTCCCTAAGCACTTCCCTGTGTGTCCACGACCATATGTGCTGGATTTTACAATGAATGTGTACTATGTTTCTCATGGTCTGACTTTCCTCCTTCCCCTGTTCAAGAAGTCTGTTTTACTCATCCTGTAGCCTTGCTTCTTAGTACCTAGTAGAGGCTTAATATATATTTGTTAAACCAAACGTATCATTTCTCAGTTCTTTCTAAACACATTGTGACTCCTTTCCTACAGATAGGAGAGTCCTCCGTTCAAAAACGGGAATAATCCATGTGACTGTGCCCTGAAAACTGTAAAATGCTGGACACACAGTAGTCCTTATGTTTATTTAATTCTAATCTCACATATTTTCTGTTAGAAGGCTGTATGCTCTTTTTCTGTGAAACATGTTTCAACAGGAAAAAGTTGTGGGGCGGGAATCCCGCCTACCTTTTATCAATTCTGCTGAACCTCTGGGTTCCTTGCCCTGTCAAAACCAGAACCAGACACAGGGGCAGGGGTGTAGCAAAAGCAAATACCCCAGCCTGCAGGATTTGCTAGTCTGAGTCCCATCCCATGAGTACTTATGCCGAGTTCCCGTGGGTCCCCCATCCCAGATCAGGTGCACGGTTGCCACATGCATACGCGTGGGACTTTCTTGTTTGAGCTGGGGATCGCTGGCTTCCCTGGAGAAGCCGGATGGTCGCGTCCATGCCCCACTTGCCCACCACTCTCCCCGGCGTACTTTGTTACCGGGCGCTGACCTCCGGGCCCGGCACGTGACCGAGAAACTTTGGCAGGAGGCGGCGGGCGGAGGCGCGGGAGGCGGCGCGGCGGCCGAGCTCCCCCGCGCGGCGGGCTCTGCGGCGGGGAGGCGCTCGCCCGCGCCGCGCCGCGCTGCGCTGCCTGGGCGTGCGGGTGCGCCGGCCGCAGAGGATGCGCCGCGGCGCGGAGCCCGGAGCTCGGAGCCCGCGGCAGCGCGCGTTCCGCAGGCGGCGGCGTCCAACGCCCGACCCCGCCTGCGCGGCCAGCCCGGCGGGTGGTGGCGCCCAGGGACGCCCGAGGCCCGCTCGCGCTAGTGGCCCGCGCTCCGCCACCGCCGCCGGCTGCCGCGGGATCAGCCAGATCCTTCCATTCCAGCCGCTCCCCACTTTCCCCACTCCTAATCTGGATGGGAAGTTGGGGAAAATGGACAGGGTCGTGTTGGGGTGGATTGCTCTCTTCTGGCTAACAGGTAAGAGTCGTTTTCTAGAGACGAATAACTTTGTATCGATTCCCATAGTGGCTGCTGTTCGCACCCCCTCATTTTCCTCCTTATTGACTGTTAAAGCTGCTTAGCGGCTGTGTTACGTGGGGGAGGGCGCCGTGTATGTTGGAATGATGGGGAAGGCGGGGGGAAAAGCCCCATTACAAATGCTAATGGATGGAGATTCAGGTGCTTGACTTCTTGGTGCTGTGAGGTTGTTCTTCGGCAAGTGCATTTTCCCTTCCATACAACGGTCCTTCCGCGGTCTTACCCTGAGTTCATCATGCTGAGTCCTGGGAAAAGCCTGCCTGAAAAATGAAAGCTGGGAGGGGGGGCTGAATCATTAAGAGGACTGTGTTCTGGGGGCGGAGGTAGAAAAGTGTCTCCCCAGTTCCTTCCCCAGAGAAGGAGGAAGACCTGGGGTGGGGGTGGGGGGGGCATTCTCTGTGGTTCCCGGGAGGTAAGGGGTTGGGAAGGAGATGGGGCTTGATTGGTCCTGGAATTTAGGGCCTGGCTGTGTCTCGCTGGTATCATTTGGAGAATGGTCCCATGGTAAAAGGAGAAGACCCTTTCAAATAGTTGAACTCCCCTTCTCTGAGTAAAGACAATTTGCAGAGAGGTTCAAAGACACTGGGCTTCTCCTCCGCACTGGAGTGCCTGGTCTAGGTGGGCCCTCGTGTTCTTTTCCCTTTTGTGAACTTTCTTCCCATTTTCCTAGTGCTAGGAAAGGCCCTTGTTTCTTGTCCTACAGGGTGATTCTGGGAGGTTAAGGAACAAGTAGCCCCTGGGATGGCCAGGCTCTGGGACACATACAGAGCAGCCCTGCTGAGGAGTGGGTCTGGGGGGAGAGGAAGGTTTGGATTACCTGGACTGCGGCACAGGCAGCCATTGGAAATGAGGTGGAGACAGGGATGGAGGAAGCAGAACAAGGTATCAGAAAGGTTGGGAGGTGCAGTGACAAGTAGAAGAGACCAAGTAGCACCAAAAAGGAAGAAGTTTTGTCTCCTCTGGGGGCACCTGCCAGAAGATCTGAAAAGAAAATCTAGTCAAGTCACTAGGAAAAGTGGAACCAGCTTAAAATATCTAAGGAGGGTAAAATGCATTTAAGAAGAAAGAAACGAATACCCCCATTTCCCTTAGCTTCAGAATAAGGTTATTGATTGACTAAATTCTTTTCCTATTTCAAATGAAAGGCCCCTAACATCGCTTTACTCCCGTGCTGGGTTTAAGCTGGGGTGGAAGGATGTCCTCGGCAGAGTTAGCCTCTATCCTGGCTGCTCTGAGTTTATCCTTCCCACATTATTCAAATATGAATCATCTTTAATTTCAGGGTTTGGCTGATCCATGCTTCCCCTCCCTGGTCTCCCAGCGCCTTCCGCTGCCATCTCCACCAATTCCTTGATTTGCCTCTACTTCTCAGTTGTCCTCCTATTCCAGAGGAACTTAGGCCTGAAGCTTGTGTCACCACCTCCCTGAAGTTAGCCAGGCATCTGGGGGGAGGTCCCAAGTCAGGGCTGCTTTTCCACTCCCCTCCTCCCCTCCTTTTGTGTGTGCCCAAGAGGAGCACTCTGGGGACTCACAGAAAGTGGAATAAGAACATATGGCCTCTCTAGATGGCTAACATGGCTAACAGCTTCTTATGACATGGAATCTTATCAGTGGAAGGGGTCATAGGAAATCTGGCTCCCCCCGCCCCCACAAAGAAATAAGAAGCACATTTGTGACTGGGGTAGATCCCAGTTCTCCTAGACCCTGGGCCAGTCCTATCTGTATCTCCCAATCTGCTTGTCTGCGTTTCTTGTTGGAGGGTGTTTGCTTTATTTTTGTTTGAAGGGATGTGATGCTTTGTCTGTGCTTTCTGCCATCTGCACCTGGAGAGGCTGCCTCTGCCTGGAAGCAGGCAACAGGTTACTTATCAGGGCCATTGCAGCTGTCAGATGGATGGGTTTCTTTGCTCTGCAAGTGAGGCTGACTCCTGCAATGCCATTGACCACTGACATCCCCACATCAGATCACTACTGTCAGAAGTGTAGATGGACTAGCTGCCTCTCAGCCTGAGCAAAGTAGAGGAGCTAGCAATGGCGGCTGGGGAGGGGGCTGCAGGAGAGAGGAGAAGTCGAGGATGAGAGGGATTGAGACTAATTCCTCACAGAGAAACCATACAAGGAAAGGTAAGAAATTTTAATCCAGCCCAATCAATGAATTCTCTTTTGAGGGGTGGTAGAAAGGGAGGGAGAAAGGAAAAGACAGGTTAAAAATAAGACAGAGAACCAAGAAAAAAAAAAGGCATATTCATTCTCCTTCTTCCTCCCTTTCTCTCCCTCTCCCCATCCTTTCTCCCTCTCTTTCTCTCTTCCTGTGCCCCCTCCCCTGTTTCTCTTTAACACTGGCTGAGCAATTTCTAATCAACACTTCAGTTTTTTCCTCAGGCTGAAGCAGCTCCTTCCTTGTCTTTCATTGCTAAAATTCCATATTTCTTCCTGCTGTATATTTAGCCTCATGATTTCTTATTGTCATTGTGATGCTGCTTCCTCAATAGATGGGTTTTGGTGGTGTTGTTGCTGTTGTTGTTTTGAAGGAAATGTAATGCTTGCCACCTGCTATTTTAGCAACAGGTGCCATCTAGCACTAAGACTCGAAGCAGGGCTCATTGGGTCTTTGTTTCTGAATATGGGTGGTGTTTTGTCCTTCCCTGGCAGCAGAGGCTGTGAGAAACACTGGAGCTATGTTGCTACTCTGGAAACCCATTCCCTGAACAAGTGATGGGTTTTCCTTGAGACTCTTTTGAGTGTCTCTGTGGTGAAGATTGCTTGCTCTATCAACATTTCTTGTGGCACTCATTCATTTATTTGTCCATTCATTCTGCAGGCATGTATTAAATCTCCATGATTTCTAAGTGTGATGATAGATGCTGAGAAAAAAAAAGCACTAAAAGATGTAGTCCTTACCCTCAAAGAGTTGTCAGTCTAGTTAGTGACACAAATGTTTGGGTAATTTTGTTATGGTGCTTCATGGTCCCTTGAGAAGAGCCACATCATGTTATAGAGCATGGAAGAGGAACACTCAACCCAAAGCAGGAGTTCTGATCCAAACCAACTCTGACATGAATTTATAGAGTCACAACTTTTATTAATGCATCTCAATGAGTTACTACTATATCCTGAGCACTGTGCTAGGTTTAATAAGATAAATGAGACACAGCCACAGCCTTCATGGAGCATGGGCTGGTGATGGAGACACCCGTTGTGGAATTGTGGGCTCACAGTTATGGAGTATTAACATTATACAAAAGCAGTAATAGTGATCTGCACTAAATATTGTAGGGTGTCTCAAAGGGCCTCCTCACCCAGCCTTTTAGGGGCAGGGAGGTATTGGGGAATGGTTGTTTGGACTAACTTGCATTCATCACACCTGGTGATGGTGTAAGGATAGAGTTATGCTATTAGTCTTGGGGAAAGAAGAGCTACTTTTAAACACTGCTGACTCCTTGACTTCCATTATCTCCTTTCCTGTTCTGAATAGTTTCCAATTTCTTTCTCTTCTCTGTTTTACTTTCCTTTACAGAAACAACCTCATTAATACGAGAGCATCTTCTTTTAATGCTTTTATGACAGCTGTCCCCATGCCTACCATCCCCCAGCCTGGATGCTTTTTTCTGGATTAGGAAAAGGAGCTTGTCTTAGTGTCCTCATCACTCTTTTACAATTTGAACACATGATTTTGCTAGATGGCTGCTTTATACTGAACTAGAGTACTAGTACTAGTAGTCTTAGTGAAGCACTGTGCCACTACTGTGTTAGTAGTCTTAGTTTAAGTACTTAGTGCTTGGTCTAATGTTAGTGGTGTTGGTACCAGAGCTTGGATACTGGAAAGATCTCTGACCTGGGAGTTGAAGGTTGGATTCCAGTCCCAGTTCCTCCATAAATAACTGTATAGCCATCAACAGGTTTGTATCTTGTTCTTATGATCTGTTGAATGAGGTGATTTCTAAGATTCTGAATCTGAACTTTTCTCCATTTCATTTTGATGAGCTGGATGTCAATGCTTAAAAATGGCAGGTCCATTCTTCCTTTTATAATTTATTCAGTGAAGGAAACCAAGGGAGCCTTGGTTTTCTTCAGCCTTTTCATTCCAATTAATGATTGGAATGAAAAACACCAGCTGGGAAAAGTAAGTCTCTTGTTAGAATTTTCAGAAGAACAAATGGAGTAGTGTCCAGTGCTTGATGGACAGAATAGGGTCCTTTCTGAACAATTACTTGTGTCCATACTAGGACTCATAAAGTGAGGCAAATACTTTGGACTTGGTAGGATGCATCCTCCTCCAGACAATATGGCCCTAGAATGTCCCTTCCAGCTTCTAGGATCCACTTACCTCATCATTTCTCTTAGCCCTTATTCCTCCTTTTCTTCAATCAGGAATAAAAAGAAAAGTATAGTGTGGTTGTTGTTGTCATTGCATATTGTCTTGCTATAATGTTTTACTCTGTTAGATGGATCCCATTTGATCCTTGTAAGTAAGGCTGGTATTACATACTTATACTCAAGAAGAACAAGGCTCAGAGGAAGTGAGACTTGTCCAAGTTCATGGTATTTTACTAATTAAAAACATAAGAAATAGTGTCATTACCTTAATTTCATTGCCCGAATTCAAGGGAAACATTCTTTTCTGGTTAAAATGGTCAAAGTAGAACTTTAGACTTAAGTGAACATACATGGTGCCCATTATGGCACATTGATTATTGAGGCTTAGAGTTCATGGAACTCAGGTAAATGGTGCAGAGAAAAGTGAGGAAGATTGGCTCTTAGTTTTCCCTAATTGAATCCTGAGGTATATTGGAAAAGAGTGAATGGGCAGTGCTCCAGCAAGACACAAGAAGACAGAGCAGATTCTGCCAGCCGTCTGGGACTAAGGGTTGGTGCTTTGCCCTCAGGAGCCACACAGGATGTAACTATGGTGTATGCATACTTAAAACCTTTGTTGTTGAG